ATGAATTACAGCACCGTAAAACTCAGGAGTGAAGAGTGCCCGGCCCACCAAGACTGAGCACAGATCTAACCTAGATGCTGAGCTGTAGCGTTATTTCTTAACATCTTTCTGCCTTGGTTGAAAATCAGAATGTTGGAAACTCGGGGGATTATTTCAGTGTTGGAACGCTCTGCAGTGAGATACAGATTGCATAAAAATCCTAATTTATCCCCACCTTTTGGCTTGCAGTCAGACAGATCCTTTCCTGGGAACTCTGGCATCCTGGCAAATGCAGAGCAGCCTAAATTCTGTTTGCTTCTAAGGATGAGGCCAAATCTGGCTTCCTGACAGGTCTCCCATCACAAGACAACCAAAGGCTTAGGACGGCGTATAGTGTATAATACAAGTTATTTTGTATACCTGAAACATTTGTAATAGTGTAGATTACAGGTTTTGCACAGGAATCAGTGATGGTGTAAAAGTAATTTGGTCAGATATTACTTAGAGGAAAGTGAAGGTAGCTACAAATAGCTAGATCATAAAAATTACAAATAACTTCCTGTAGGATAATAGGGTCAAAGATTTTGATTTTTTTTTTCTGAGGAAGTAAGATGTCTATAATTTTTCCTCAGTGAACACTTTTTCTTTCCTATTTTGCAAATATTACCAAGTTGAAGTTTATTATGCTCTCAAAGATAAATCTGCTATTTGGAAAAACTGGAATACTTTTATTATATGATTAAATATTGATCAAGGGAATTTATCTTACCAAAAAGTGATTTCTCTTGACAGAAATGACACAAACTGCTCTTATGCCAAAACGAATAGTTTCAAAGTTTGTTATTTGTTATTTTTCTGTTTACCAAAAAAGAAGTCTAGTGACAAACGTTAGAATAAACCTGTTATTTAAAATGTACCTGTACCAAGTTAGAAGCCTATTCAATGGCAAACAAAATGATGTCTTTGTGCCCTAAAAAATAGAGAAGCGGGTGTGTATCCATCTATCCAAGCAGATGGATAATGTCAATTTGCTGTGCTAGAAAAAGGACAAACAGAAAAGAAATGGTTCATTTTAAAAGTGCACTATATATTCAGGGTTCCCATTTCATAAATATCTTGCCTGCTGTGCACTGCAGTTGACCCTTTAAACATATCTAGTCAATAACCTATTGTTTTCCACAAGTCCATTTTGTAATTTTGATGGTACAGATTCAAGTGTGGCAATCTTCCTTTCTCTGCTTCACTGCAAACATGACTCCCTATGGCTGGTACTAGCTCACAAAAAAGCCACTAAAATGTCATTAATTACAGCAGGTTTGAGATCTGAATGCTAATTCTATTAATGGACCTCTGAAATTAGGACACTGTAAATCTAGATGAGCTGTGCTTGGGCCTCCTGCAAACTGGGCTGACCTGAGGTTACCTACTATATTAAATAAGAATTGTCTAATACATTTTTAGAATTCTAAGTGTGTGTAAATCAGACCTTGTGACGTACACCACCAGAGGGAATAGATAACTGCAGTACGCTTTCTGTCTTCACTTCTTCTATTTACCTAGCATCACATTCATTTGGAGTGCTTCATACCAAGAAACAGTGATGCCCAAGGCTAAGGTGGGATCAGATACGGCTTTCTGGACACTTTCCCTACTGCGTAATCCCAAAATGTTAAAATTTCATTTATAAGCAACTTAAAATACATATATCTAAAGGAGACTTGTTATGAAGCTGCCAAGGGTCCCTAAAAGTATTTATGAATTAACATTCTCTGCATGTTCTTCCAATTCAGAAAACTTGAATGAATGATTTTTGACAGCACATTTTGATGTGTTTTGCTATTAATTTCCCATCTTTACTTTCAATGTAATATACTTTTAATTAGGCAATAATATATAATCTTCTGTTCATCTATCATTTTTACTCAAACATGTTAGGAAATGGATAATAGAAAAAAGGCTCATCAGAGACCCTTTGGTGGTACAGCAAAGCTGGAATAAAATGCCATCTCCTGACAGTACCTTTAAGGTTTCATAAAAAGATAATGGATGTGCTTGTCACTGACGCTAATGATCAAACATTTTCCCAGTTTTACTGGATATTAAATTGTAAACTATAAAAGAAAACCCCACAGTCTAAGTAATGTAAGGAAAATAATCCTGCTACATTTTTAAACTCCTTTGATATCTAACTAACATAAACCTCCTTATTCCACTGTTACTTTCACTGAATAGTCACTATGGCAAGAGTGTGTGACGCTTACTTTTACTAAAGTGAAGAGGCTTATTTTGAGGAGGAAAGACAACTCTCCAGGTTGCAGAACAGGAACATGAAGATTATATATGCAAAAATGCTTAAGTAACACAGGACACTAATTGATCACAATATCTTTATGAAGCTGACTAAAGCTTTTTTTAATCTGACATGAAGCAATTTTTGAAAGGGTTATGTCTAAATTTCATATATCACTTTGAAAAATGTTTGAAAGATATCCTCTGTTTAATATTTTCAGTAGTATTACCATGATGTCAAAATAAAGAGGAGCGCAAGGCAGTAAAAAAGGAAAAAACCCCAATGTGATGGGAACACTACAAAATAAATAATTACCAAAATAAGGATCGATCAGTTTGAAAAATTAGGTTAACACTGAAAAAAACAGATCTAATTTGAAAGCACTGAAAAAATGGTATGTTATTCTATTTAGAAAGAGAAAAATATCAAAACAAAACAAGACAATACCTTCTAGTCAATCACAATGGAATTAGACTCACTAGACAAGATTGCTCACGAGACTTGCATTTAAAGAGAATCTAAAGAAGTTATAAATAGTCTGTTTCCAATGACTTCTTATTCAGTAGTCCCTGATTTTCCAGGGCAGAGTTCTCTTTTCCACCTTATCTTTATCTAAGGAAAGATTCTAACAGACTTTCATTCTCAGACTTGTTTCAAAGACAAAATTGGGCCAGGGAACTCACTGGGGTTTTGTTTGGTTTTTAAATGCACTTGCTCCATACTTGGCATTGTACCAGATACAAAATACATGAACGACTGCTACATATAGTTAACAGGTGCATTTATTTTACTAAGAAAACCCTGCAAGCCTGAAACAGGGTTATTTTAGTTAGTTTGAAAGTAATTTCAAGTATTCATACCAATCGCTGGATTTTACTGTGACTTTTAGAGGTTTTACTGTAATAGGTCCCACTTAAAAGAAAATTAGCTCTCTGCCCCTTGAGGCTCTGTAAAGACCACAAAGTCCAAAGAACCACAAAAGCACGAACACAAATGAAATCCTCCTAAGCTCAGTAAGATGTTAGCAGTGGGTTACCTCAGGGATCAGTGTTAAATTACAAGTGGAAAAGCCATTACCATCAATGAAGGTGAATTAATTTTCATCTTTCAAGCAACTAGCCCTTTCAAACACTGCAACTACAAGTGATTTAGGAATTAGACTAAATAATTTACAAAAATAAACAGTGCTTTCAGATAATGGATGCTGTATTACTGGTCAGAATACCCTACAGGCATATAATATAGAAAAATGTTGTTTGAAACATCAAAGATGAGAGCACTGGTGTAAAAATAAAATGTTGATTAGAGGCACAGATTACAGATTATTAACTGCTGCACTAGTGTGTGCCCAAAGGCTTGAAATCACTATATAAATTGGAAGACAGGATGAGGGAGAAAAACATACAAAATATCAGAATTTCCTTGCTTAAAGAAGTACATCACAAATGAAACCTCCAACTGGATACTAAGGAGATAAATCCAGAAAAAAATAGTTATGATCTTTCTGGAAATTATTCAGTCCCTTGTAAAACACAACCATAGTAGACTAAGTTTCAAAACCTAAAGTCAAAATCCATTCCCTCCCCCAAACTTAAAGTGTATTCAGATGTCAAATTTTTAATGAAAATGAAACTGGAAGAAAATTACCCAGATGAGCAAACCAGAACCAATGAATTTGCGGATCGTGCTAACTGAATTCAAAGCAAAAGAAACAGAGCAATGATGAAATAAAATGACCACATAAAAGAAAACCAGAGTAACAGACGTTGCTAATGCCCACAAATTGAAAATAAAGTTGACTGGTCTTCAGAACCAACTCACTGCTATGAATGACACCTGGCTTATCACACCACTTCAGATGTTACAGGGAATACCCTTATACCTATGTAAGTATTCTAAAGTTACTGTACTGACCTCCATAATATCCCAGAATTGAACTCCTGCTTTCAGGAGGCTTAGCATGCAACTTTTTGGTAGAATATGCAGAAGAAAAAAAACAACAATCATATTGTCTCAAGAGCTGGCGAACTTGTATCATGAATGTGACTACACTGAACAAATAGCAAAGTATAATTTTTTAGAAATACAAGCTACCAGAGGGATACCGCACGAGTCTACCAACAGCTTCAGCATATCCTATTCACTGTACTTGAAACAATCAAAAGTAACTCTCTTCGCTCTCTAATTTGGCCTAGAAAAGAAATACTGGAGGTATTTGAATTATAACAACACTTTTCAAAACCACAGTGAAGCGCAAAACAAATAGGTAGAAAGTACAGCTCTTATTAAATAATGTTTTCATAACCTCCTTAGCTTTTTCAAAGTATGAAAAAATCACTGTAATCAAAACTTAGACTCTCTTCCAACAGAAAATCCTATTGTCTATGACTTAACATTTTTAAAAAAATCTAATTTACCTGTCTATGAAGCAAAACATCACTGTTATTTACAGAAAAAAAAAGAACTCTTCTGTTTGAATAGCTCAGCAATGGGAACACCTGTTTCATACCACTAAAAGCATGACAGCAGGTTCTTCCAGATAGTACTTATAATGCCATAATATCTCATCCCAAGAATACAAACCTTTTATTTGACAAAGAAAACAAAAAACTTGTTGTTGTTCTGTTGCTTGGGTTTTGTTTTTGTTTTTTTTTTTTTAAATACATTCTCATGTATAACATGAATTGCATTGCAGATAGCAGGGATTAATGGAAAGCTGAAAGCTTCTTACCAAGTACCCCAAGGCGATAGTTGACTGTGATGACTATCACATTCCCATAACTTGCTAGAACACTGCCATCATATAAATTTCCAGTGCCTTCCATGTAGGACCCTCCGTGAATATACACCATCACAGGCTTAGGTCCCCCACTGTCCCGAATGTCTGGAAAAAATATTAAGACACATTTTATCTCAAGAAAGTACCAAAACAGATACATACAATATTTTTATTTTTTTTTAGTGAGGTTATTATTCTTGAAGTGTTTCTCAAGCAACGTCTTTTACATAAGGAAAAGGGCAGGTGGGCATAAGTGTTTCTTTGTGGCTTGCTTGCAACTAAAGTTCATATTTTTGAAACACTTGTTGGCCTCAGAAAAGCAGAAGGGAATTGGAAATGGTAACATGTTTGCTCAAATGGAATGGGACAGTGGTCTGATTCTGTTCCTGCTGGATTTGACATAAAATGTCTACTAACATCTGTGTGAGCTCATTTAGGCAAAGTCTGAACACTTCTGAAAGCTCAGTCCATCTTCCTGTTTACTTAGCTAAAGGCAATTCACCATATTAAGATAAACAAGATTTCTGCTCATACATAAATTGTTGATTGCTTCCAGTATGGTAAGATCAATAATTTATAAAAAGGGTGTATAAACAGCTGTCTTCTGATAAGTCTGAAGTCCAAGTTTTCAAAAAGTACTTGGAAGCTGTTTAACACTTAGACCTCAAATTGATATTATTTGTAACCTAGGTAGCCTGACGTTTAAGGAGCATGGGTACTTCTTATTTTACTAAATTGTGAAAAGGACTGTATGTTATATTTGAAAAAATAGATGCCTGGAACAATCTTTATAAATCCCCACCCTGCATTCAAACAAGCAGTAAGGTTCTCAAAAGTAACACCGAATGCAGGTAACAATTTTAAATCTTAGAAGCTCCGCCATTCTCTCAGACAACAAAATTAGACATCGACATATTATTTTGAGTTTCTTTTTAATGAAGACATTGATGTGGGTATCCCTCCCCCCCAAATATTCCTGTTTGCAAATTGATGCACCTACTCCGAATAAAATTTTGAATATCTGAACACCACTGCTCCTCGTGAGGAAAGTTGTTCTTAAGTACGAATTCAAAGCAACAGTTAGTGGTGGGATAATATACGTTTTTAAAAGATTTTTTCTGTTGGACTGGAAAGAAATCAGCTAAGGTGTAAATTTAAACTTTTACATCTGGATTAAATTGTATTTTGATCTCATTTACTAGGTGTCTGAGTCTTTCCCACTGCCCAAGTCATAGTATTCCATAATAGTCCCTAAAAATCAAGACAGACAATAGCAAGAGAACATATGAAAACTTCCCAATGAGGAACTGTACTGCATATTCTGATTTGAAGACTTTTTTTGTCATTATGACAGTATTCAAGTGACTTCCCTGATTACTCACTTCAGCATTTGAAGAAATCTCAGATGTTTTGTTTAATACTTTGATTTGAAGGAATCTTAGTTAAGACGCTTCCAAGTAAGCTCTCTGTAGAATTGTTTGAATCGTTTCTGAAGCACTATAAAGGCAACTAGGTGAGGGCAGTTACACTAAAAGTCCTGCTTTTTGAATTTGCTGAAAAAATCAGCACAGACGTGTCTGTATATAGAAAGCCAGTTGCTATTATTATTTTGATATTGATTCTAATTTGAAGAAAATGCCAGAACAGTCAAGATCAAAAATTGGATCTTCAATATTGGAAGTACTAGAACAATCATTTATTCAAGACCAAAGGATGATGAAAAGTTGTGCATGAAATTGCTTGTATTGCTTTCCTCACTGAAGCATATAGTAAGGGCTTTCCAACATGCAATTCTCAGAGTGTAAAGCTAAGGAGATTGTCCATAGGATAGAATTATGAGCTCCTGAGGTTTAAAATATATAGAGAGGAAAAAGTCTTTTCAAATTCATATACTGATTTCAGTAGATTGTTTGTTCATAGTCTGTGCTTCTTTTTTGTTGGATACAAATATGGAAGCAATAATAAATTATTAATCTGAAATCACTGTGTGACTGCTCCCAGCAGAAATTGTACACAGTTAATTGTATGCTTGGTGGTAGCACAGGGGGAGACTGTCTCAGAATTCTTCTTAATTAAAACTCCGCCATTCTCTCAGACAACAAAATTAGACATCGACATATTATTTTGAGTTTCTTTTTAATGAAGACATTGATGTGGGTATCCCTCCCCCCCAAATATTCCTGTTTGCAAATTGATGCACCTACTCCGAATAAAATTTTGAATATCTGAACACCACTGCTCCTCGTGAGGAAAGTTGTTCTTAAGTACGAATTCAAAGCAACAGTTAGTGGTGGGATAATATACGTTTTTAAAAGATTTTTTCTGTTGGACTGGAAAGAAATCAGCTAAGGTGTAAATTTAAACTTTTACATCTGGATTAAATTGTATTTTGATCTCATTTACTAGGTGTCTGAGTCTTTCCCACTGCCCAAGTCATAGTATTCCATAATAGTCCCTAAAAATCAAGACAGACAATAGCAAGAGAACATATGAAAACTTCCCAATGAGGAACTGTACTGCATATTCTGATTTGAAGACTTTTTTTGTCATTATGACAGTATTCAAGTGACTTCCCTGATTACTCACTTCAGCATTTGAAGAAATCTCAGATGTTTTGTTTAATACTTTGATTTGAAGGAATCTTAGTTAAGACGCTTCCAAGTAAGCTCTCTGTAGAATTGTTTGAATCGTTTCTGAAGCACTATAAAGGCAACTAGGTGAGGGCAGTTACACTAAAAGTCCTGCTTTTTGAATTTGCTGAAAAAATCAGCACAGACGTGTCTGTATATAGAAAGCCAGTTGCTATTATTATTTTGATATTGATTCTAATTTGAAGAAAATGCCAGAACAGTCAAGATCAAAAATTGGATCTTCAATATTGGAAGTACTAGAACAATCATTTATTCAAGACCAAAGGATGATGAAAAGTTGTGCATGAAATTGCTTGTATTGCTTTCCTCACTGAAGCATATAGTAAGGGCTTTCCAACATGCAATTCTCAGAGTGTAAAGCTAAGGAGATTGTCCATAGGATAGAATTATGAGCTCCTGAGGTTTAAAATATATAGAGAGGAAAAAGTCTTTTCAAATTCATATACTGTTTTCAGTAGATTGTTTGTTCATAGTCTGTGCTTCTTTTTTGTTGGATACAAATATGGAAGCAATAATAAATTATTAATCTGAAATCACTGTGTGACTGCTCCCAGCAGAAATTGTACACAGTTAATTGTATGCTTGGTGGTAGCACAGGGGGAGACTGTCTCAGAATTCTTCTTTAATTAAAATTACATAGAATTACAGAGCACCAACTGTGAACAGTAATGAAATGTTGGTAGCACTGGCCTGTTTATCTGGAAAATAATATTGGGATATTTAGAAAAGAATAGGTGTCCTTTATCTGAGAAAAGAAACACACATTCATGAGTAAAATCTGACATATAAGAAGTGATTCTCTGAGTAAACTCTGTCTATACCATACCTTCATTATTTCCTACTACTAATATTCTTGTAAAGATTACAGACAGATGAAGAAAGACTAATTTTCAGCTCTGCCTATGTGCCATGTCAGAGCAGATGACGTGCAGTATGAATTTTCCTCATGCTGCTTTGCCGAAGTCATCAGTCATAAGAGAAATCCCTTCTACAAAAGAAAAATTGTGCTTCTCTGTGTTTTTCAGGCAGTAATCTAGTACTGGAGACATCTGTGAGGTTATGCAGTATTCAGCTGAGGCTAGTGGGACTTTGGGCTATGGATTATATAGAAGCTATGGAGCTCTTCATGTGAAGAAGAGAGATCACTGCATTTTGGTCTTACAGTCAGTGGTTTCATATCAATTGCAGTCTACAGCTAGGAATATTTGAAAGGTGGGATATATATTCAGGTGGGAGAGTACTATTTAAGTACAGACATTATTAACTCTTGGATGTTATTGAATAATAAGATCAAAGGAAGACAGCAAAAAATCAGATCATAATCAAGAATTTATTCCTACCTGAAAGAGAGTAAATGTTCCCCCATGAAAACCATCATCCTTTAAAATTAAAATGGAGCAAGTACTAAGGTAATACTCTGTGAGGAGAAACTGTATATTGGTAAACAAGTGGCAGAAAGATGCACTTTTCAAAAGTGCTTGTTGGAGTTAAGTGTCCAACTCAACAAAGAAAATAATTGAGATTTTGGCACTCAGATACCTTTCAAAACCTGACCCGAAATGATTTGATAAGTCTTTCATTTTTTCCTACAAGCTGCTATCAGTCTTTTCTGCGCATGTGCTGGAGTGATCTCAGTAAACTAGTTACACTTTCTCACAGAGATTAATATTTATTCATGGATGCAGATTAACACTTATTCGTGGAAGTAGCTCATTCTGAACAGGCCTGAAGAACTGCGGTGCAAATGTGACATGTCTGCCAAGAAGTGCAGATTTACATACTGATTTTATTTAGTTGCATATTGTACCTTTTGTTGCATTTTATTAAGAGTTGCTTCAATTAAAAAGCAGACACGAGTATTTTCAAAGACATATGCAGGGATAGTGCTGTTCAAAATCCTTCTCAAATTCAACTCTTCTGTTTTTATTCACACAGAAGATAAGTTTTGAGTGCTGTGATTTTTTTGGCTTTAAATTGCTAGTTCATAAAACATCTAAGTAGGTCTTACTGTATAGCAGAGAATGATCTTATTTATATGACATATACATGAACTTTCTTATTACAATTTCCATCATGTCCTCTCTTCTGTACCTTTCTAATGTTTGTTGCATCTACTTTTTATGTCTGGTCTTAATTACATTACAGGCAATTTAGGAATAGGGCTGTCTTTTATTCTATGTTTGTAACATCACACAACAGGGAACAGGGTCTGACTGTGAATACCAGTCACAATTGTCATATATAACAAAACATAATTATAGCTTCAGTCATTTGAAGCTGATGTGAATTGGCCACGTGACTTAACAAGTATAATTTGCAGGGAACAACCAAAATGGGAAAGGAAGAAAGCCTACCTGGAGGCAACTTAGCACAAAAATATAATTAGTTTAGCACAGATGTCACAAGCAGTGTTTTTCTAAATGCTGTAAAAAAGTTGTGTCATTTTGATGTAAA